TAATTACGGTTAATCCGTTCTGAACCATATGTTTTGTTTTTTTTAAACCGCAAAAATATGAAACAAAATACAGTACGAAGAGAGAAAACGCTAACCTTGCTCGAGGCGACTTCTGGCATGGAGGACAGGAAGGTGGGTGGGGAGGCGGTTTTTGCTTGGTAGGAGAGGCCCCCCTCCTTCAGGAAGCCACGACCACGTGTCACGGCAGGGAAAATGGCCGCAGATCCTGTTCGTCACCTGATCCGGCGTTCGTGAACGGAGGCAAAATTTTGCGAACGGTGCTGTTCGTGACCCAAATTGGTTGTGAACAGAAGCGTTCGTGAACTGAGGTACCACTGGATTTGGATAAGCTCTAAGCTGAAGCTAAGGGTGTCTGCAGGGTATGGTCGAAAAAGGCAAGATGGCAACCGCAACAGCGTGATCAAAGCTCTGCCTTTGCATGCTTCTCACATGCGATACACATAAAAACTCGACAGAGCTTCAATCACACCATCGTGTGACATTGGTCCCGCTTCAGGCTATTGGAGAGGGACTGCTACAGATGCATAACAGATTTGTTTGTGGACAAATGGATGTGCAATTACCTCACAATATTGTGACTTTGAATATTTATATGCAATTACAAAATTCTAAACGGGAGCAAAGGTTTTTTTCAGAAGAAGTCAACTTCAGAAGCCTCAGAGACACTGGGATGCATTTCTTGCCCTGTGAAAAATGAATATAGCTTGTTATATCATCTCTGTGGTCTGGGTACAAGAATAGGCTGGCCTTAGGTTTTTTTTTTTTAAGGCCTCCCTTAGGCACGAAAGCCGGCTGGGTGACTTTGGGCCAGTCGCGCGCTCTCTCAGCCGAACCAACCTCGCAGGTGGTTCACCCCCTTGAATTTACCATATATTTATATATTATAAAGGCAGGATAAAAATATAGTAGTAGTAGTAGTAGTAATATATATGTATTGTTTTCCAATGATCTTCCTTAGGGCTATAAGCAAACATTTCTGCTCACAGTATTTCATTGTAATTAGGAAAACCTAATCGAATAATTCATACACCAGCAAGTTCCAAAGTTAAATGTAAAGAAATTCTTTAAAAGAGGTGTTTCTGTTGGTTTCTTTTAATGTTTATCCTTGAAACATCTGTCTAGCCAGATGACTGGAAGCATATACATGGACAATAAAAGATGTGTACTTCATTTTACTGTGCCTGGTTATTTGGCAAGAGAGCCCTCTGGGGATTACCCCACATCAGACGGCATGTTGGAAGGACGTCTCTCTATTTATCTATGTGCAAAAGATTTTTGATGAGAGGAAATGTTGAACAGATGGTCATGTGCTGTGTCTGTGTTTCAAGTGCATTTTTTTTTCCTGGAAGGAAAAACATGGAGACAAAATGATAGCGCTTTTCATTTATATTCATTTATATAAGAATGTCTGTCTTACCCGTCCGATGCTTCTGTATAGATTTCCAGGCTAATTGGATTTAATTAATGGTTGGAGAGGTGAAATCTTAAGATCTGATCATTGTGTGTGAACACTGTTTTTTTTTTTAATCATTTAATTTTGTAGTGATACCTTGCCTGAAAAACTTGCCAACCCTTGCTGTAAACTATTGAGTGACCTGAATTTCCTTGAACCCACCTTGGAAGTAGGTGTAGAACTTGTTGGTCTCAACCATCTGGAGCTTAAGAGGACTGCTGGTTTCTGGTCTCCTTCATGACTGTGCCCTTTAGAGGTTGTACTGGAAGGAAGCAATGAACCAAAAATGCAACTTCTGCTCCTGGACCAAAAGCTGATAAAAGTAGCAATGAACAGAATCATATTATTGTGCCCTTTGTGAGAGGAAAAATTTTAGTGGCCTTTTGTATATTTTAATGTTGATTTTGATTGCATTTAATAAAAGCCAAGCTAGCTAAACTGTGGCCTTTAGGGCAATAACAGGAAGTGGGTAAACTTGCTGGACTAAGCAAACTGTTGATGAGAAAGATGTGACAAGGGACAAATGGAACAGGGAAATGTGGTAATATTAGCACTGGGAACGTTATGATTCAGTTGCAATTCCTGAGAGTCATGACTATGGTTTGCGGTTTCTGAGGATCAAAGGAATTGCAACTAAGGGGACGGGACCACTTGGTCAAGCTGTCTCACCTGACAGTTTGCTCATGATGGTCCGCATTGCAATGTGAATCTAAGTAAGTACCTTGTATGCCATTGGTTGAATTTTACTTGCTTATTGAATTAACATTTAATAAAGCTTTTAGAACTTTGAAGTAACTTATGTTATGGTGTGTCTGTCTCCCGTGTTTAACGTGGTTTTTTCCCTGACACCTTCTAAAGTGAATCTCAATGTTCATTCAGGTCCAACACTCCAAAGAAAGCAGTGATTGCAGGAAGTATGCAGCTCTTAGCAGGGGTTAAGCTTTGCACTGGAAGAATTTTAACCAATCATCCCCACTATGAAGATAAGAGTCTGAGAGAAAGAACAAAACAGGTAAGAGGATCTAACTTTCTCCAGATAGTTCCATTCTTACGCTGTGCTTAGATTCTCCTTGTTTTAGCAATGGTGGGTAAAAGTTCCTGGTTTTTTCTCCTCTAAATTAAACAGATACCGCAAACGTATATCTTGACATAGCTTTTCCTTTCTTTCATGTTCACTGTGATGAAAACAAATGGTATAATATCAAACGTATTAATACTAGTACGTTCACTGAGGCGCATGAAACATTTGGGGCCCTAAAATCTGGAGCCCCAAAGAGAAACATCCTAAGTATATGACAGCTGATTACATATTTATTGGCCTGTCTTAAATATGTAGAGAGGACAGATTCAGATCCTTGGGCCATCTCTTACCAGGTTTCTATTTTTAAGATGAACCCTACTGGACCAGATCGAAGTCTGCCTCCTTCAGCATCATTTTTCACAACTGGCCATGACAGCGACAAGTCCTCATCACAATCAAAGATCAGCTATATCCCAAACAATAAAACAAATGAAGGAAAATGAAATAAAATACATTCAGCTTACAGAATGGATCTCTTTTGTATCAGTTGTTACCTCGTTTTCACCATAGCCACACGATCTTTGGCTATATTATTGGTGATAACATAGTTGGAATCTGAAAGGAAAAGATTGACATGGTAGTTATCTATTGTAACAAGCATGATATATAATCCTTCTGAAGGACCTAATAAAAATTGCAGTAACGCAACACGTTGGTTAGTTTCTATAGACAGATATATTAGTGAAACTATGGCATATCTACCCTGTGATAACACAGTGTCTTACGTGAAGAAGCTATGAGGTCTGTTGCCTAGACATCCTCAACTTGATCACTCCCACTCATGTTGGACTACAGCTCCCATATTTTCCAGCCAGTAGTAGAAATAGAGATCAAGTTGTATAGGTAGTCCTCATTTAGTGACCACAATTTGGAGCGGCAACTTGGTTGTTAAATGAAGCAGTCACTAAGTGAAACTGCAACTGTGCTTATGATCTTACTTCAGCTTTCCTTTGCCTTACAGATCTGCAAAGGTTGTAAATGCAAGGATTGGTTGCAAAGTTACTTTTTCATCATCAACATAACTGCAAACAGTCGCTAAATGATTTGATTGACTGATTATGTGCCATCAAGTTGTTTTTAACTCCTAGTGACCACATAGATAGACTTTCTCCATGATGATCTGCCCCTAACCTGTTCTTTTGTGTCTCCCAATGGTGCACTCATCGCCTCTGTAACTGAGTCCATCCACCTTGCTGCTGGTCATCCTCTTCTTTTCCTTCCACTTTTCCCAGCATTAGAGTCTTTTCCAGAGAGCTGGGTCTTCGCATAATGTGTCCAAAGTAGGATAATTTGAGCCTGGTCATTTGTGTCTCAAGTGATTTGTTTGATGATCCATCGGTTTGTTTTCTTGGCTGTCCACAATATTCTCAGGAGTCTTCTCCAACACCACTGTTCAAAAGCATCAATACTTTTCCTATCCTGCTTCTTCAAAGTCCTGCTTTCACTTCCTTAGAGTGTCACAGGGAACACCATGGCTTGCATGATTCTGATCTTTGTAGGTATAGACACTTCACAGCATTTGAATATCTTTTCCAAGGCCTTCATGACTGCTCTACTGAGTGCTAGTCTGTGGTGTGTTTCCTGACTGCTTGTTCCTTCACTGTTGCTGGTGGATCCTAAAAGGCAGAAGCTATCCACCACTTCAATATCTTCATTACCAATTCTAAGGTTGGTGGTTCTACCTGTTGTCATTAATTTGGTCTTCTTTATATTTAATTTTAGTCCCATTTTTTCACTCTGCTCTTTGACTTTTAGTACAAGGGCTTGCAGATCCTTTGCATTTTTGGCTATCAGGGTAGTGTCATCAGCATAGTGCAGGTTATTGATGTTTCTTCCTCTGATTTTAAAACCACACTCATCTTCCAATCCAGCTTTCCTTAATATATATTCTGCTTATAAGGTTGAATAAAAAAGGGGAGAGTATGCAGCCTTGTCGCACTCCTTTGCCAACCTGGAGCCAGCCTGTTTCACCATGTTCTGTCTGGACTGGCTTCCTGACCTGTATATAAGTTTTTCATGAGGACAGTGAGATGTTCTGGGATCCCCATTTTTCTGAGCACGTTCCACAGCTTGATATGATTGACACAATCAAAGGCTTTTCCATAATCGATGAAGCACGTACTGACTTCTTTTTGGTATTCTTTGGATTTTTCAATTATCCAGCATGTATCGGCAATAATGTCTCATGTTCCTTGGCCTTTTCTAAAGCCAGCTTGAACATCTGGTATCTCTTTTTTCCATGTAGGACTCTAATCTGTGTTGGATGATCCTATACATTATTTTGCCAGCATGTGAAATGAAGGATATTGTACGATAGTTTCGCTAAACAAGGCAGTCGCTAAACAAGGACTACCTGTAATCGAATATCTAAGAAGGTTCCTCCCTCCCATCTCTGGAGGCTACTGTAAACCAATCCTGCTGTCACTGCCCAGCAAGAGGTATTCAGTATAGACAGTCCCCTCCTTGCAAACATTCATGTTGTGAACTTTCACCGATACGAACAGGATGGACCCAGAAGTCAGAACTGGAAGTCGGGCTGGAAGTTGGAACCGGAAGTCAGGAGAAGGTGGGAAAGGGTTAGCTTGCAGCCCACTGCCAACTAACCCTTCCCCACCTTCTCCAGCACCCCGTTTGCATTTGAGGTTTGCATTGAAGTTGTAGTTCCCAGAAGAGGTTAGTTTACGCAGCACACTCCGTTGCCGGGTGAGGCAGGAGAGGGGAGAGGGGGCGGAGGTCTCCTGCCTTGCCCGGCAATGGAGCGCGCCATGCCCCACCGGCCCTGCCTCCTGCCTCCACCTCTTTTTTTTTTTTGCTAGTTGGACTTACGAACAAAACAGACTTACGAACAGCCTCTTGGAACGTAACCCATTCGTAGGTAGGGGACTATCTGTATCACACTTTCTCTAACACTCGGATCTCATAAGACTATTGTGGCTAATCATGTGAGTTTGTCTTTAGCTTGTTCCCTTCCTTTAGTCATCCTTTATTCCCACCTTTAATTAATTAATAATGTAATTAAATCCAATTAATTCACTTATTTGTAGGTTTATCAAGTGTATGCCAAAAGATCACCTGAAGATGTTCACAGGATCCTCAGATCTTTTGGCACTGACTTTGTGATCTTGGAGGACAGCATTTGTTACGAAAGAAGGCATAGCAGAGGTTGCCGGTTGCGTGACCTTCTAGATATTGCCAACGGCCATGTAAGTCTTTTCCAAAACCGGTCTTCCTAATTGCATTTAAGTAACTCCAAGAATTCAGCTACTGTTTTACATGTCCCTGGGACATTCCTTATGAAATCCATTGTGAACCAGATGGATTCACAATGACTGAACAGAGCTATTAAATCTGGAGTTCCCAGCCTTTTTTGCCTGGCAGGCACATTTGAAATTCAGAAAACATGTGAGCACTGTGCAAGATGGATGTGGGAATCAATCCAGAACAGGCAGTCCTTGCTTAACAACCACAATAGGGCCCAGAAAATTCATTGTTAAGCAGGGTGGTTGTTAAGCAAGTCACGCCCGATTTTATGACCTTTTTTGCAGCGGTCATTAAGCGAATCACCAAGGCAGTTAAAGTGAATCACATGGTTGTTAAGTGAATTACGCAGTTCCCTGTTGATTTTGCTTGCCGGAAGCTGGCTGGGGAGGTTGCAAGTGGTGATCATGTGACCCCGGGACTCTGCAACCGTTGTAAATGTGAGCTGGTTGCCAAGCACCCAGATCGCAATCACGTCACTGCAGGGTTGCTGCAATGGTTGTAAGTGCGAGGACCAGTTGTAAGTCCCTTTGTTCAGCACCGTTGTAACTTCGAGGAGTCACTAAACAAATGGTTGTTAAGTGAGGACTCCCCATACCATACTTTCTCCAACACTCCAGTAAGACTATTGGAGCTAACCAGGGGTTCGGAAGGCTGACATAGTATGTTATTTTAGTTTCCTTGCTTGATCTAAGCTTCATTAATATAGCAGTATCAAAGTAGTTGAACACCCTTGCACTTTCTGTTACAGACAATGGATGGTCCTGGGGAGAACGATCCTGATCTGAAACCTTCACCTTACCCTCGCTTCTGTGAGGAAATCAAAAGAAACCTGCCCTCGTATACAATGTATTTTACTAAAGTCTTTCACAACAAAACTTTCCATGTTTACAAACTGGCTCAACATAAAAAAATCACATAGCTTTGCTATAACAGTAGTAGAAAATGCTAGTTTATAAAAATGACTCTTTTTTTTTTTTTTAAAGTGAAATCGTTTTACACTGGTTGAAAGTTTATTTTTTAATTACTCTGACAGTTCAAGAGAGTTTGCTTTGATAACATTTTCCATGTCCCAAAATATATGTAAGTTATCAAAGGCTAGTTGACAGAGGCCTCTGGTATATACAGAACACAGACTGTGAAAAGCAAATATTTCATAAATTCTATCCCAATAATATCCTGCAGTATTTTTTTTAAAGATGGGGAAGGGTCCCTCATGCCACTCCCTGCTCATCCACAGCCCATGCACCAAGGATCTCTGTGGGCCTTCTCTTTCCATTTACTCTTTAGGGAATGGTGTTGCATGGAGTTTGACATGCTCCTGTGGGTCTTATAAGTTGGAATCCTTTTTCATGTTTTGTGGCTCCCTGTGCTTATTAAGGACCAAGAATAGGGCTGGATTATTTAGAGGCGAGCTCTTTGATTTTGCTGGTATTTAAGCCAAGTAAGCGTACTTTGCATCACAGATTGAAACTTCTTTGCTGAGATCCTGAAGCTCAGAGCTTTGCTGTGAGAACATGTAAGATCAGAGTAAAGAATACTTCGTTGGTGTCAGTGTGCTGGGACCTAAATATCAACTGTGTGGTAACCAAGAGCAACCTGATCCTTTCATCTCCCCATCGGCCCACTTTTCTCCGCGAGGTTCAGTCAGGAGGGCGGTAAGAATCCATGTTCCTGTGCTGGAAAAGGAGCTCTCAGTTTTAAAGCTCAAATCGAGCTGATGCGAAAGCATGAAATGGACAGTGTTGTTGCTTTGACTACTTTTGAACATGATTGATATGTTACTAGAAACAGTTGATGCAGAGTCACAAGTGTGAGATGAGCAGCTATATAAATTTAATAAAAAAATAGAATCTTCAAATGTGGAAAGTGATCAGGAGGCACACCATGAGTGACCCACCTGCACCCTCAAGTGCCACATATTTTAATCTACTTTGTCTTAACAAATTCCTTATTCTCCTGATATCTTTAGCCATGTTCACATTTGCATTCTTCATGCAGACTCCCAGCTAAACATAGAAGGATGGAGGGACAGGACTGCAGGATGGATTCCCACCCTTAGCACGTTGAAAGAGTTTTTGTAGAGGGCAACTCAGTTCTCAACTCTCTCCATTCCTCAGTCTTCAGTATCGGCTGTAGACTGATATGTTTTCATGCAAGCTCTAGTCTTGTAGGGGGGGTGTTATTCAACAATTGGACTCCCAATCCAGCAAAGATTTTCAGGGACACCCAAGTGCTCATGGTCACTGTCTGAACAGCACCCCTCCCCATTTTCAGTGTCTGTGGTTCTTCAAACTCTCATTACTACCAGGGTTTCTCATATAGCATTTCAATTCTATTAGTAGCAATTTGCTTTCTTGTCTTCTGTGTTTAACTGCTGATTTATCTGTGTGTAGAATGTTGTAATTGAAATTTGGGAGAGTAATGTAGAACAGGGTTCCTCAACCTCAGCAACTTTAAGATGGGTTGACTTCAACTCCCAGAATTCCACATTCTGGGAGTTGAAGTCCACCCATCTTAAAGTTGCTGAGGTTGAGGAACCCTGATGTAGAATGATCTATATTTCAAGGGGTTAAAGGAGGTGTTGACATGAAAATGCCCCCAAACTGCTTTTACCCAAAACAATGTTCAGTTTCTGTATGCTGCCCCCACCTCACTTCAAGTGTGTAATGTCCTAAGGAGGATAAATAATGCCATGAAGAATTCTCTTAAAAAGGCCAGGTATTTGGTTTTTAATGGAAAATGTGATTTCATGGTTCCAAAAACTCACCCATATGCCACCCTACCTTGTCCAGAATGCACCCTGTGAATCATGTGTCTTATACTGACACAAGTGGAGTTCATGTTTTTGCACATTTTGAAGTTTTATGAAGACCATCAACTTCATGCTGCCTTATTTTTAAGAAAGTCACTGTGACAATAATGTTATTGCTAATTTTAACATTGTATATGGAACTGGAGAGGAAAGCTTGCTTGGATGGAGAACTTCTCCACTTTTTGAGTAGCTGCCCAACAGCTTTGGGCCCAACCTCTCTTAGGAGGTCCTCTTAGCACAAACCCCATTGAAAAGGATGGGAGGTAGACAAGGAAATGATTTCCTAATTTGAGCACTGTGTGTCTAAAAGTAATTCCCAGCAGAATGCAGCTGGTATTCATTTCTGCAACAAAATGTGATGGTACTCAAGTGCCTCTGGAAAGCCATCAAAGTATCATTAGGGGTATACTTGGCTGGTTCAAATAATTCACATAAGAAAATTGTTACAATTAATTTCTAGCTACAAGAAACTTAACAGGGCTTTGACTAGTTTCTCCCAAATTTAATTAAATCAAGATGGGTAATGAGATTAAAGTTCCCCAACTGAGTTGTCTTCCGTTTCCCAATTATAGGAACGGTTTCCCCTTCGCAATTGTCCCTGGGTATATTACTACAGGGATAGATATGGTTCTGTCAACTGCACACAAAATAATTTCACATTTAGGCACTTCCCGACAGTTCCCACTGCCAGCAAAAAGAGCAGGGTGCCTTTAAGTCAGACCTGGATCTGGACTGTGTTTTTGTTTTAAGGGGCAAAAGTCCCTGAACAATTTCTCTTGCTTCCCTTAATGAGTTTGGAGCCCCCCTGCCAGTTCAGCATAATACAATAATAAAACATTTCAGTTAAGTACTAAAACTTTAATTAAGCCTGTAGGGATGTATGCTTGATCTTGCCAAGAATTCAGTCTCTAGATCGGTCAGTGGGAAAGGTGCAATTTCATTTAGGGTGAATTCCTATAAAGGCTAACTCAGTGATGCCTGCATCTCTCCCAGGCTGCCTACACAGGTACAGGTCAGCTTGGTAGGTTTCACACAACACATTTAACCCCACTTACTAATAAATCCATTTTCTAGCTTCTCAAGAGAGAATGTCACTTGGATCAATATACGTTAACTTAGCCAGTGCTTCCAAAAGAGAAGAGGGTGAAACAGAGTCCCGGGGGCTTAAAAGCGATTCACTTCTGCTTTTTAACATCAGACACCCTGAATCACCATACTTGATAATTGCAAAGCAATTTCAGTGCTTTGCCTGATGTTTGGAGGACATCCATGAACACAAGAAACAGGCTTATGTTTACAGATGCTGGGAACAGCACCTCTGCTCCTGGATATTTAAAAAAAAAAGTATTCATTGGTGTTTCTATTTATATTACTTCTGCAAATAGCAGCAGCAGACTGTCTAACAGGCAACACTAGCGTATCACAAAATGAAGAGATCCATTTCAGCTGGTGCAATAGGAAGCAGCAGGTTAGAAAAAGGCAAGAATTCATGTACCAAAAGTCTTTTCAAAGTGTTTGCAGGAGGAGGCAATGCCAGTTAGGCTCTGATTCAGGCAAGCAAAGATGAAGAAGCATGCATGGGAACATCTGCTGAAAAGGAATGGAGGCCAAACATATGGACATACCACTCAGTGGAAAACCTCACTGTATTTGGTGGATGCTGGTAAATGTTTATTATGATGTCATCATCTTCCTAGAATCATATTTACTTTCCCCTTTCCCTATGGGATACCTTGAATGCATAATGACAGTTGTTCTTAGCTCCATATGCCAACTGACAACCAAGACAAAACTCCCTTAAGCTGTTCTCAACTTCTTCCATTACACAACAGGGGTAACCCAACGGCTTATTTATTACAAGGGTCAAAACATGCTAGGAAGAAGAGCTGGGAATGGAAGTTGGATCCAAGTATTCTTAGCTTCCTCCTGCAAGAATAACTCATTGAATTGGCGAGATCAGCTATCTAACAGGCATTCCTTATAACACCCATCTCAAGATAATATTCAAGAACACAATTCAGTTCTTCTTTACAGAGCATTTTTTTTACAAAAGCTTCCAAGGGGAGGGCTACATTTCCATAGATGTTCCTACGGCTTTTATGAAAAAAGAAAAATTAATTGTAGACCAAGGTTTCCTGAAGGTGCCCCCCCCCCCCGCAAATATCTAAACATGCCTGATCTAAGCCTTCTCTGACCCCATCCCAGCCCAATTTTTTTTCCCTCGCATTCAGAATTGGGGGATAAATCAAGCCACCAAAGAAAGAAACACAAATAGATAAATATGCATTATACAGTACAAGAGTTATAGGCACTATAGCTACCCCCCCCCCAAAAAAAATCTTAATGGTACTGTTCAAGCTTTTGAGTGATTTGTGATCTGGCAGTGAATGGGACATGTTGAGCAAGTTTTTCTTTTTTAAAAAAAACAAGTATAGATCTTTGGGAAGAGAATCAAATCTGAAGCATGACTTTTAAAATATTGCCATCATTTGCCCTGTTGAAATAAGGGGTACCTAACCCAGAAATATTATTAATTGTATAAAAAGGATCAGCAACCAGTTGCATTGTTGGAAAAGGCACAGATAGGATTCATTTGTAACTAAGCATCCAAAGACTGAAGGTTTAATGTGAATTATTCCTGTTTCCCCAAAAAAAGGCTGTGTCCTGATTTAGGAATGAGGCATCTCTATGCGTGGTTCTGCAATTCAACTTTTCCTATTTAGTACTATATTTACATTTTTCAGGCCTGCCCAAATAGTGGCCCACCAGATGAAATGTCATCCATGGATCATGCATTATGACTAGATATTTGACAAGCTTCTTGCACCAGCAGGTACAGTCCTAGAGGAGCGGACTCTACCACATGGCTGACAAATCACCTTTAACTTGGGCAGCGCATAAATTATTGCAAGCCTAGTTTTAGAATGTATTACTTAGCTGAAAGTTGTATTTTGGTCTTCCTGTTGTCTGTTGTCTTGTGTGCTCCTCCCACGACCAAATACGTCATAATGTCATTTATTTACTTCTAACACCTCGGTTTAAAAAAAAAATGCGTAAATCTGCAAACAACTTGCAGTTTATCTCTAACTGTAATTATGCAGAAGTTATGTCCCATATATGTCAAGTAAATTTATTTCCAAGTATGCATGCTATGTATTTCTGCTTCGCCTCTTGGTGCAAAAGAAAAGGCTGTCTTAACATGTATATGAGAGTTCGCTGTTCCTCTATGATGTAAAGGAAGTTGTAATTCTGTACAGCTAAAATGTGGCAAGGAAGCCAACACTGGAAATTGCATATCTGGGGAGCCGATAAGTTCTTTGCTCCTTCTAGTTTTAAATGTTTTTCTGATTAACAATGCAGGCATTTTGCCAAGCAAGCATTTTCTAAAACGCTATTGTAAAATGCATGATAAATATTGTCTTGCCAATAAAATCCTTTCTAAAAAGGAGACCTGATGCTTTTTGTCTAAAGCAGGCACCAAAAAAAAAAAATTTTTTTCTGATGTTGTCTTAGGCGACTTAACAGGCTGAAAGGACTTAATATTTAGTTAAATCATCTTTGAGCTTTATCAGCCTATGAAAGCAGCTGTTGCTGAACTTCCAAGTTAAATGCTTTACCAGATACATTTTTTTTCTCTGCCACTACCTGGTGCATTTAGTAAAGTCAGCCATTTTTCTGAGAACAGAATTTGGCCAGCCATAACCAGGAAAGGCTTTATAATCCAGAAGGATCCAATATTGCTTTCCCCCCTCTTTCTAATGCCCAACTTTTCAATATTTTTGGAAACTGTCCATGACTGAAAGAAGTCTGTTTCTGTCAGGGAAACCTAGCCCCAAATCACTGCATGATACAGGCACATTATTTGAGCTTCAAAAGGCTTCTTGAGGTCAAGGGCTTAAAATCACAGCTTCATTTCTGGGGCGGAGAGTTAATAGACCCATACTAACCTCCTTGACTGAACAAATCAACATTGGACCAACTGCTCAACATTGAATAAAATATTGGTAATTTGGGGCACAATAAAATATTCTCTATAGCAGTGTTTCTTAAAGTGTGGTCCTAGAACCCCCAGGAGTCCCCCAATACCCTCTTGAGGGTCCTTGAAATCAAAATTATGTGCCAGCCTATGTTGAAAAATAATACAATATTAAAATCCCATCAAACAATCATGAGAAGCAGCAGCAAATGCCTCAATTTTAATGTTTAATACGGTAAATATAGATAAATAGAACCCATACCAAGAAAAGCTCTTTGGGGCCTCCATAATTTTTAAAAGTGGGAAGGGGTCCTGAGGGAAAAAAAAGTTTAAGAAACTCTGTTCTATAGCAAGGGAAGAAATTTTGCAGGGGGCAGATCCAGTGTTCCAAAGAGGGTGATGAATGCCATCAGTGGGTAAACTTCAGATGTGCAGTGCTTTGGACCACATTTGAAAATGTGGTAATGCACCTGAGGGAGAACATATTCTCAGTTCCAGGTGTGACAAGCAGAAGTCATGCATAGCTACTTCTCGGGAATCTGCTTTGCCTGCCAGCAATCTGGTCCATAACATGAAGCATAACACAGGCATCCAAAATGAGCCATCAAAGATAAAAGAGAGGAAATTGCATCTGAAAATAAAAACAGTCTTTGCTTCTTATACATATCAACTATACCATGATGTTTGAGAGCTTATTACATTTGTACATTTTATGGTGTTAAGTGTTATTGCGTGCACCATCCGGATACCCGGCTGATGTTCAGCGTATCTCAATAAAATCTCTACTAGGGACAATGAGTTGCAATGACCTCTCCTACTTTTAATGTAAACAGTTGGGGTCCTTTTCTGAAAAAACAGACTTTCACACTGGGGAAAAAGGCTGAAGACCACCTTGTAAACATCAGGAAAGAAGTGCAACTCCCTAAAATCAGGATACCTAATTTTTATTAAGCCGAGGTCCACATTTCAACTTTTAAATAGCATGACCTCAAAATGTAGTGAGCAAGGCCTGCACAAAAACTGAATTTAATTTCAGCTCAACTACATTTCATTAAAATGTAGAGTTAATTTGATGATTCTCCAGTCATGTATCTAATAGTTTTCCCCCCAGTGTACAACTAAAGATGATAACTATTAAAAAATATTTGGAAGTCGCTGGATCTCAGCAAAGCTTTTTGGGTGGCAAATGGTGGCTAGAGGTTTAACTTGTGCACCTCTGTCCTAAACTGATTCAAAAGTGGTGTTTTGGGGGGGGCAGTTGGTATGTGTATGGATGGGGTAAAATTTAAAAAAAAAACTGGTCTGGAATATTGCTTGATTAAAAGCAGACAGTAAATCAAGGAATTTCCACAGAAAAACATCTCCCCAGTTGACAGACAGCATAGATTCTTGAGCAAAATGCTTGTCAGAAAACACCCCCTTAAATACTTGAGCATATACTTTGTCTTAACTGACAATGCAGAGGAATTTAAGGATGTGAATTCAACATCCCTGCCTCATGGAGGACTCACAGGAGGTTCTATAACAGTTGTGCCAAATGAGAACGCTCTGTATACCTATTTTGCTACATCACTCCTGTCTCGCGTCTTTGAAAGGGAGGAAATTGAAATTTAAACACAGTGGCAAAAAATGGCTACTACTGTGAAATACAACCGATTGTTAAGCCTACAGCATGAAATAAATGCAAAATACAAGTTTAAAAAAGAAATAGCCATCTCCAAACCCCAACCACAATTCCATCTTTGTACATATAACACAAACAAGAAAAGGTAAAGAAAAAAAAACAATTACAGACACATAAATATTATCCATTACTCCAGTTGACGCCAATATAGCCCTTATTTGTACATTTTTCCTTCCAAGGCAAATGTTTTATTGTCCCAGTCATCCTGATCAGGCACAAACACTTCCCCAAGCACTACTGTTGACCATTTTTCTGTTAAAATAAATTATAATAAATCTGCATTAATTTCTCTCCTTTTTCCAAAGAGCTTTATATTCTACAGGATTTATTGCCCCACTTATCACTTTTATGGCGGCTTAGCGTTCTCAAAGGTTATGATCCAAGCCGTTTCAAGCAATCCCTCTGCTTTTTTACCAAAGTACAGCTGAAGACGAGGCCACAAATATCCTGCGCAGGATTGCCTTAAATAAAGAAAGATAGCTATGCCCATGATTTATGCGGGAAATTCTGCCCTAAGGATAGGTGATTTTTGCAGCCTGAATACATTACTGAAGATTAGGAGAAGTGCAGGTATTTTCTAGTTCTGATTTTTTTTCTCTCTGCCCTCCAATAAAACTTGCAATTCTCATGTTCTGACATCAATTCCTGACATCTCCAATTAAAAAGAACCTCGTGCAGCAGATGTTGGGAAAGATACCTACGTGATCTCTGGAAAGACGCTCGTAGCTTCTGGAGATGCTCCTGTCAACATGGTTGCTTCCTTCCTTTCTTTTCCACTTCTTTTCCTAAGATTTTAGACAATTGCGTGGACTGAGATGAAAAGATTCTAAGGGTCTGCATAGGTCTGTGTGGGTAACAAAATCTCAATTTTTCCTATGCATGTCAGCGGGAATCAGAATGATTCCACAACATGCAAATTTAATGCATAAATAGATACTGATATTATTCCCTGTGCAATTGTCATATTTTTTCCTAGGATTATGCAGTGCTTTGGGTTATGAACTTAGCACCTGTCTACAACTGTTTAAAACAGCTGGATCTTTCTCCGGGACCACACAGCTGTCCTCTGTGATTAACCCATCATTCTTGGAATAGCTGTGACTGCTTCAAAGAGTTGTAGATAGGTGCTACATTCACAACCCTATAATCTGAAGCACTGTTTTGGAACTGAAATTCCAAAGCACTTTGAAAAGGCTATTGTGCTTTTGACTTCTAAAACAGGGTTCCTCAACCTTGACCACTTGAAGATGTGTGGACTTCAACTCCCAGAATTCCCCAGCTGGCTGGGGAATTCTGGAGTTGAAGTCCACACATCTTCAAGTGGTCAAGGTTGAGGAACCCTGTTCTAAAATACAACTCCTAGAATAATTTGGACATCATAGTACTTCATGGGTATAAATAGGTTTTCTGCTTATAGAAATCCTTAGCAATTTTCATCAGTTTCTAGGGTTAAAGAGTGTAGTGTTTACTCCTCCATCATCCATTCCTCAAGTGGTGTTCAAAGACCATTATTATCTGTGATTATTATCAATTTCATTGCCCAAAATTCTGGTCAAAATGTTTTCAGAACTCACTGGCAGGCTCCCACTATTAGTTAAAAAAATGGGTAGAAGGAATAGCTTCTGTTTCTGTCAGTAATTGCTCTGTTGTTTCCACTCCATTATCTAAAGGATTCTGATAATCAGATGGCAACAAAGACATAAAAGGTGGTCCATTTTCTTCACTGTTTGAATCAAGAGCCCAGTATAAATTAGATGTAGACTTATATGTAGAGGACCCAGCATATCTCCCAGACCAAAAATATGTGATGTATCAAACTTAGCCTATTGTAGCTGATATCCAACAAGCCAATTGCTACCTGTCCGGAGTTCAAGACCTTGATCCAAAGTCTGTATGTTTAAATATGTTTCTGAATCACTTCTCAAATGCTGATAGTACATGAGCACCTTGGTTGCAAACCAGCTGATCAGATCCAAATCCATCTTCCTGGAATACTGTTTCCATCCAATCCAGGAGCTTCATCTGTACCTCAGTGGTGCTAGCCTGTATGATGACCACAGATATATACAGTATTCAAAGAAAGCATTCAGTGGGACAAATCAAAACCCCAAAATAAAGCTCTGGTCATTACAGTCATCCACCTTGTTACAGCATCTGCAGCAAACCACAACGATGACAAAAAGAGAAGACACATACAGACACCTCATCACACAAACATCACCCATACATACTTGCATCCTGACATCTGACACAAATAAGGAAGTTGCATTTTCATGACGTCATAGTCATTAATTGCTCATCCCATGGACATCTGTGATTTCAGTTAAGTAAAAGGTCATAGTAGAAAAAACCAGATCTTTTAATTTGATTATTAGGTTGAACCATCTGTCATGAACCTGCTCAATAACCCAGAATCATTCTCAGCTTGATAGTCACAGGCAGGCCTTCTTTATGATTTTTACTATCAAACTTCTGGATCTTCCCCAATAACGCTGAATGTTAAATGTGCATTTTTTCTTCGCCGTCTACATCAACTGCTGACATTTTTATTCACTTCTGAGCTGACAGCACTAGTTTCAAGAATTGCAGCTTACCAAACATGACAACTTCCAATTTGCTTTCTTAAGTAGAACCTGAAGCTGGGAATAGATCCTGGCAATGGAGAAGAAATCCAGAAATTGTAGCAGTCTTGGTTCATATGTAACACCAAGCAAGCCATGGATGAAGGTTCCTTTGTAAGTAGCACTCTTGCTCCTTCATAATAAACCAGAATTTTGAAAAGGCTGTAACTCAGGAGTAAACTACATGTTATTCTCAGCAAAGGTTGCAAGTCCCACTCATCTTCAGCTGAAAAAAATTCAGTCTGAAATTCTGAAGAGCTACTGCAGTATCAACACTCGGATAAATGATAAGATTCACCATAAGACAACTTCCTATTTTCTTATTCAAACTGGCCTACAAAAATCTTGTTTACCACAGCTGTATAATAGGCCATAAAGTAAGGCCATGTCAAAATTACCCCAAAGGCCATGCTTGTCAGCCCTTTGAGGTAGGCAAGGCCAGGAAGCAGAAGTCTTGGAGCGCACATTAATGCAGGTCAGGTATTGTAATGGAATCTTGAAAACCTGGCCCAGCCCCTCTCTACTTCAACTTATACCTAGCACAAGTTATTTTGAGTTCTTTTGCTATGCTTTCCCCTTTCCCAAGATTGAAACATCTTTTCTGTAACTCCCCTGTAACATCTCAACATTCTCCTCCCCTTTCGCCACATCAAACTGACATTCCATCATGCTTGCTACTCTTTGGTTGACCATATCCCAATTCCTGAAGAATAAAGATTGGGAGGCCATGCAGTTTTTCTGTTACACTTCCATCATATTTAATGAGTCCAAAAACTTCATTCACCACACCAATGAGGATGACATAACCCTCCCATTTTCCATCAGAACCCAACAGGTGAAGCTTATACAACTGGGCTTTCTCACAAACCAATTCATGAATCATGAAGATCACACCTGTCTTTGCTTCAACTTCAAAGGCTCCTCCAATGTTTTCAGCTGTTCTGTAGAACCTCGACTTTGTGTTGAGTCCTAAAAATGGAGAATTGGGAAAAATACATTTACACATGGACATTGTTACTACTGTATGAGTTGATACTGCTACTTGTGATAGAGATTTTTAAGGATACGTAAAAGCAAACAACTTCTTATGGAAAAGAAAGTGAGTTTGATTATTAATCATTATATTCATGATCAGCAGTTATAATCATGACAATCTACATTAATTCAACCAATAAATTTCTATACTTATTAAAGTACCTGTCTATATTAATGAAGTGTTATTTCATTTCCAAAGATATATTGATTGGCTGGCATGAGGTCATAATGAATCTGTTAAAAGTGGGTTGCATTTATTGATCTACTTAATCATTCAATAAATATAAGTGCCATCCAATCCAAGTAGCTCTCAGCTGCATACAAAAATACAGAAACACAATAAATCAGTTAACCTTAATCAGTGTAGAGATGGGCAACCAGTAATCCCTCTGCTGCTTCCAGGAATCCCTCCCTTTCCCACCAAACTTTAGCAGGATAGTCTATTATTGCATTTTTTTAGTAACAGACAAGCTGACCGATTCCCATAGCTTTAAAAGAAAATAGATGTCTTCCATTGAAGAGGAGGAAATTATGGGAAGAGAAAGAGAAAGTGCCTCAGAAGAGGGCTGAAATCTCTGGGGTAGTGAATTATGATGTGAATGGATTGCAGGAAAGGCATGAGAAAGAAATGGGCGTCATGCTTTACAAACTCAGTGGTTTCAATCACATTTGTAGACCAGGTGAGGTCTGAACCAAGTTCCATATCTACTATGTTTCATCTGCCAGCATCCGTCCTGAGACAGTGATCAGCAGAAGAACTAGGTTTCCCCTCTTTTGTAGACCTTAATATATGTATAATGCAACCAATGTTATCATTGCCCAACCCAAAACCTGCTGAATGCATGGTCTGCATAAACCAGGAGTGTCTGTAGGGTGTGATTAGAAAAAAAGATAGCCATGGTAACACAGTCAAAGTTCCACCCATCTTCATGAGCATCGTGATTGGTGCAATGAAAGTTCCACCCATCTTTTACGTGCAAAAAATGGGTGGAGTTCAACGGCACCGTTCTGGCTGCCATTTTTCGACCACACCTTGCAGACACCCCTGATAGAAACCTACAGTGCTTTGCCCTACTCCCTCACCGGCCTTTTATAAAACCAACCCTTACTAGCTGTCAAGCTGAAGAGAGAGAAACGCCTTGAAATAAAAGGAGAGAGATGAAAGAGTCATTATTTTCCCCCTTCCTGGCACTCTTGAAATACGATCTTCTGCACTCCTGAAAAATGATTTCATTAATATTTCAAAGGCTGCTCCCGGAGACGCCAAAGCGTCTCTTCCTCGTTAGCGCAGAGGACCACGACAGTAGAAGCCACCTTTGGTCTTCATCCATAGCTGCATTGGAGATGCTCATCCAGCAGGCGCATCAGTTGTCCCTCAACGCCGCTGATAAAAACATGCACCGAGGCTGCGTCTGGAGAGATGAGGAGCACGAGATTAAAACACTCGACCGTAGGACTTCCGTCAGCTGTAATTCCTTAAACGGTCTTCCTGCCCATTAAACGAAGACAAATAATGCAGGCGATGCCAAAACGAACTCTTCGGCTTATGGGCAATTTATAATACTAACATTACTCAAAAAAAAGAACCCAAAAAAAGACCCTTTTTGATATCAAGTCACTGTCATGTTAAATATGTTGAAGCAGATAATATCTGAATAATGGATACGCAAGGCTGCTGCGGTACGGTTTGGTTGTAACGTTCCTATTCAATTCTTCCTTTTAAAGCAGTGTTTCTCAACCTTAGCAACTTTAAGATGTGTGGACTTCACCTCCCAGAATTCCCCAGCCAGCCATGCTGGCTGGGGAATTCTGGGAGGTGAAGTCCACACATCTTAAAGATGCTAAGGTTGAGAAACACTGCTTTAAAGGCTTGAGCTGGTACCTGAAGCTGGTGACAGAAGGGTGGGCATCTTTTGATAACTGCTGGGGGGGGCTGCACTTAATATTTCCAGGGGAAGGGGTCCATGAGCAAAGGAGGCAGGGAAGAACGAGTAGGGTTATCCTTTTTCCACATTTTGGGTGAGACGCAAGTACATGCTCGACCGTTTCATCGAGGAAAGCCTGTTTTAGGGCTGACATTGTTCACGTGATGCTCCGCACCGAACAGTGAGGAATTTTACCCACTTTTAGTTAGACGCTCTGAGATACGAGGAGAAGATGCAAGATAAAAGTCAAGATGGTGACCAGGATGGTGTGATCAAAACTCTGCCAGTTTTTAATGTGTGTCTTGAGTTTTTTTTACCATACCCTACAGATATGCCTGGGCAGATGTGCTGCCCTGGGGTTACAGTTTGCTAAATCTTATTATTAAATCTCATTAATAAAACTTCTTACTCAAGTAGGGCTTTGAATGACATCTTCCCAACCTCCTACTCTCACCAAACATTGCACTTTTAGTTCTTTCCAGTTCATAGTAACTGTTCTCTTTCCTGGTTAACTGAAAGACTCTCTCTTTGTCTTTCAATTTTTTTCCTCCGAAAAAATTAAAAGTAGCGGGCATTTTTTTGGTGTGTCCTTTTATTCTATTTTTGAGTTGCCTGTACCCACTTTGAGGATTACTGTCTCCACCCCCTTCAGAAAGGCCAAACGTAGCTCTGGAGCTTCAAAAGTTTATTTTGGTTCATTTATTAGATTTATAACCCACCTTTCAAACAGGAACAGGGGTATACATTGTACTCCCATTTTCCCCCACAACAACCCTGTGAAGTAGATTAGTCACCCACTGAGCTTCTATGGCTGACAGCGGACTTAGACTTCATCTCCCCAGTGCTAGCCTGACACCTTTTTTTTTAGATTTTTTTATCCCGCTTTTATTATTTTTTCCTAAATAATATATAAACCCCTTATAATTATATAATTAATAATTATATAAATAATATGCAAACATCTTAACTACAGTAACACATTACCTCTCAAGTTTTTCATACTTGGGCTCTATGGGTGCACACACCAAAAATGTAAAGCATGAATACGCAAACATTTGTCAGAACCTTGTGGTTACCTGGAACTCACTGATTCATTTTCACAAAGAACACCAAGGCTTTCAACCTATGTACTTTGCTAACTTGGCATCCTGCCTTATTGGTTTGGTACGTATGTTGGTGGTTGACGTCTGTCTATAGATTAAAGTAAATCTCTTAACACAGAATAAAGACTGACGTAAATCGGCCTGCAAGTATTTCATTTTTCCACTGCCTAAATAGCCAGTCTGGTGTCCTGGTTAAGACATCAGGCTAGAAACCAGGAGATCATGAGTTCTAATCCTGCCTAGGCACAAAGTCAGCCAGGTGACCTTGGGCCAATCACTCTCTCTCAGCCATAGGAAGGAGGCAAGGGCAAACTATTTCTGAACAACCTTGCAAAGAAAACTGCAGGGACTTGTCCAGGCAG